TATGGCATGGAGTAGTTAATATATCTCAGTTGGCTTATAACTCCTTGGCTTAAGCTATTGAGTGAAGGTGGGTCCAACTAGATATATTTGACGAGCTTGAAGTTGGGCTTCCTCCCCAAGTAAAGATATCAAGTTTGTGCTACGCGCTCCTAACATTGCATGCTTGACAAAGACTTTGAATTCTTGAGGGATATGTACAAGATCGACCTACACGTGTGCTAGTTTAAATTATTTCTTCTTCTTTTGGGCCAGTATGCTGGTTTATATTCTAATCATATCATAAAACTGTGAAATTTAGAGAATTGCGTGAGCAGAATATTCTTCTTGATGGATATGGTAACAGGGTTTCAAAGGTGCTCCCCAGGGGACAATGCACTGAGGGTGGCAGAAGGGCGCAGCCCAATTGTCAACTCATTATGCAGTGTAAGAGAGAATCCAGAGCGATAAAATGGTTTTTCTTTTAACTTTCTCCTTAGGTTTGCATGAAACTATTGCCTTTGTTACATGGCTAACTTTCTTTTTGAACATTTTCATGGATTCTACCCATTGCTCTTTCCTTTTTGAGGAATGAGGATGTTGCTTTGTAGCTACTAGCTGAATATAATTTAATATTATAATAATTTTGCTACCTTTTTTTAACTATTTAAATGGTAACTAGAAATACTCTTTTAGAAAAGAGCAGAAAATGTACCTTATGAACCTTTAATTGTACTTTATTCAACAAAGTAATAAATTTTAGGGATAATTAAACAAATGGTTCCTAAATTTTGGCCTACTATGTAATGTGGTCCATGAGCTTTTAATTTGTTTAATGTAATCCCTGAACTTTAACCCAATGTGCAATGTTGTCCCTAAATTTTTAATTTGTTCAATGTGATCCCTAGATTTTGGTACATGTTCAATTTAGTCCCTAGACTATATGAAAATATCCAATGTTTTCCTTTTGTTAATTCAAGTTTAGGGACAATAGTGTACATTTTTATATAGTTCAGGGACTAAATTGAACATATACTAAAATTTCAGGGACCACATTGAACAAATTAAAAGTTCAAGGATATCATTGCACATTGGGTTAAAGTTCATGGATCGCATTGTGCATTGAGCTATTATTCATGGACCATTTTTGTCATTTTCCCTAAATTTTAGCATCCATTTCAGAGTTTGAATGCTTATGATTGTGATGTTTCAGGTATTGACAATTGTTGCCAAAGGGTGATATTATATTTATATAGAGGGTCATATATTTGGAAGTAGATGGTTGACTTGACTCAACCTTACTGAACTGAGTTTTTTCCGATGTTAGCATTGTTTTGCTTGCAAAATTACTGATATTTGACAATAGGATTCCATGCATCACAGGCATTAATTAGTGAAGAAAGTATCGTTATCTCTTCTTTTCGACTTAGAGATCGTAGCATTGATACTTTGACCAAGAACATAGGTTTCTTCATGACCTGGGAATTCCTCTCGTCCTCCTTGATGAATTTCATTACACCATTATGAAGCTACTTTAATTTTTGTAAATGGCACGGTGCTTCATTTCTAGAACCAAGCTAGACTAAAGACCTTCCTAGCATTTGATAGGAGAGGTTGAACAGCTCGATGCCTTCTATTCATGTGTGCGAACACCTTCTAGCTTTTTACACGTATCTTCTCCAGGACGTGCTCAAAAGGTTGGGAATAGGATGGATTAGTATTCATAGTCTAATCTAGGGCTGAGTTACAGATAAGTCAGCTCATCAAGCAATTATGAAATTAATCATTTTCCTATTGTGGCTAGTATAGTTTAAATCCTGTTGGTCAGGCACGTTGATGATAATTTACCAACACCGTTAGTAACTTATTCCAATGCAATAGCAGATTATCAATTTTTCGATATATTCACCATTCAGAACAAAAATTAAGCGGTGAAAATAGTATTTTACCCATAACTTACCAACAGAGCTCCACTTAACGAAGAGAAAAGGAAACTAATGGAGATAAATGGAGAGTGGAGAAAGTGAGAAAATAGAAAGGTTACCCTTATATCCTTCGAATTCATCAAAGTGTTAATTTTAACAAAGAGCATAGCTCAGAATTTTTTGCGGCCAAAACTACGAAAAGCAGTAAAGATAATCTAATGGATTTAGTAAAGAAGATATTAAATTGATATAACTTTTTTTAGTGTACTTTTAATATTGATATTGTCTTATAACCTATTTTTAACTTGGTTATTATATACACAAACAAGTGAAAAATTCAATTATAACTAACCTGATTAAAATTATCATACTATAAATCTAATACAATATACTTTATGGAATTTGAATTTTAATATAACTCGTTCATATTTTTTTCCTCTTATTTCTTGTTATCAATACGTTTGATGTAAATAGTGAAAGAGACATGAAACATTAAAGAAAGATCAAATTTCTTAAAATAACATATTAGTTCTCGGGGATCACAAGCTTTTCTTAAAATAACATATTAGTTCTCGAGGATCACAAGCTTTTCTACTATTGTTCTATATTTAGTTTTAATGTAGAAATTGTAGCCTAGCAAAGAGCATAGCTCGGAATTTTTTGCGGCCAAAATTACGAAAGTAGTAAATTACGAAAATCCATTTCACAATTTGTTGCAGCAGGTAGCGAGAGGGAATCGCTTCCAACTCTGCAAGATACAGTGACTGTGTGTGGGCTGGGCTGAAAGAGAAAGTTGGGTGGAAAAAAAAAAGGCACGGCTGGGCTGAGCTGAGCGCGGGCCTTGTCTATTTTTGTTGTTTTTGCTATTTTGAGATATATATATATATATATATATATATATATATATATATATATATATATATATATATATATATATATATAATGCCTTATGAGACTGACAAAATCAGGTGTCAACGCTCTTTTTCTCCGGTAATAAAAATAAATGACAAGTGGGATAGAAAAAGGAACATGATTGAATGCACTGTAGGTGATGTTCTACAGCCACAGTTTGCTGGACAAATCTAGGGACCACCGCGGAAAAAGCTAAAATCATTTTAGAGCGGATGGTAGATTTCTAAAATTATTGGTTAATTTCTAATATCATAAACAAGAAAAGTATGATAGGTAACTTACTTGTCAAGTTACCAGTTAGTAAGTTCCTAACGTTCTCATGAAGTTACCGTCCGAATGAATTAGTAAATCACCATCTTCTTTTAAATTTTACAAATGTAGTTAGTTAATACCGACATTATGATGAATTTACTGATATCCAGATAATTAGTAATTTACCAACTGATTTTAAATTTTACCTGTGTAGGTAGTAAACTACTAACACTATGTCAATTTTACCAACATCTCAATAAATTTATAATTTCCAATTTCTTATAAATTTTACAAGTGAGGTTAGTAAAGTAATAGCATTACTATGAATTTATCAACCATTGCGATAAATTTGTAATGATCAACTTCTTTCAAATTTTACAAGCGTGGTTAGTAGAGTACCGACCCTATAAAGAATTTACAAACACCCCAATAAATTAGAAACTTACTAATCTTTTTTTCCAAATTTTATTAGTGTACTTAGTAAACTACCACCAATATGATGAATTCACAGATATCTCAATAAATCAAATAAGTTACTAATTTCTTTCAATTAATAACTTCATATAAAGTAATATATTCTAAGTTCTTTTCGATATATATTCTTAATATATATATTAGTAACTTATATATATATATATATATATGTGTGTGTGTGTGCGCGCGCGCGCGAAAAATGGGTGGTTTGGACAGAGAAAGTGGAGAAAGTGGGGAATGGATCTACTTAACTAGAAATTGTTTATAATTAATCTATTGCTTTTCAATTTACTTAATAAAAGTTAGCACTCAACCTGTGTTACGCGGCTGTCATGGAATTCCTACAGTCGTTGGTGCAAGTTTAAGGTGAAAATATTATTTTAATTTTAAAATTTAAAAGAAGAAAGTAACTTACTAATTTATTTGGACTTTGGTAAATTCATGGAAATGTTAAACCATACTTCTAAACTCTAAATTGAATTAGTACCTCATTAATTTGTTTGGACATTGGTAAATCGCAATTGACTAAACATAGTCGTAGAATTTGAAAAGAAGGGGGTAACTTACAAGTTTATTTGGACATTAATGAATTTATTGCAATGTTGTTAATTATTAACTACAGTTAAAAAAAATTACTAACTACAGTTCTAAAACTTAAAAGAAGTCAGTGACTCACTAATTCATTTGAATGTTGGTGATTTATTAATCTTACTTGTAAAAATTAATAGAAGTTAGTAAGTTACAAGCTTATCAGGAAGATGATAAACTCATCGTAATGTTGGTAATTTACTCTCTGTACTTGTAGAATTTAAAAGAGGTTGCTAACTTACTAATTAACTATGAAGTCGGTATAATTCATTATCATGGTGGTAATTTATTGATAAGTTTTTCTATTTTGGTTGAAAATTGACAAGTTAACTTACAAGCAAGTTCCCGGCTATATTATTTTTCGAACAGTATTTGAAAATTACCAGCAACTTAAAAAATCTACAAACATGGAAAAAATTCAGTTTTTGGGCCTACGGGACCCTAGAATTTTGCAATAAGATTACTTTGAATCCAGACTCCAAAGATGCTTTAAGGTTTGAACCTTTAGTACCCATGATCACTATTGCAGACACGTATGATAGGTGTAAGATTGCAAATAAACGATCTAATACTCACCTGCAACTTCAACAGTAGTTTGGAGTAGGACAATGACAAATTTAGTGATCCTTAAGGACACACTTCAATGGCACGGTCAATCATGCAAACCCAGGTAAATGGGCTTCGGCAGATCTTCATCTTTCTTTCTTTCCCATGGAGAAAATAGGAATGGCTTACACCAAATAAGAAAAGGACGGGGTTAACGATGCAAAGCAAGTTATTTTCATGTTCATCTAATCAATCAACCCAATTCAGAAATCGCATTTAAAGAAGAATACGATAAAATAAAAAAAATCGAGCTACTACATTCGAAATTGCATTTCAATCTAACAAATATTTTATTCCTTGATCTACATTGCACATAGTTCAGAGGGACCACTTCCCAACAGTTTTATCAGCCTCCATGAAATCTGATGGCCTTCTGCTTTGGCTTCTTCATCCATTTGGCTCTTCTCTCCATCCTTCTCACTTTTCTCGCAAGCCACTTGGGTCTTCCAGTTTCACATGAAATGTATGCTACAGAGATTCCAATCACGATTCCGGATGCATAGCCTATCCCCACTGCTTTCCTATAAAACCCACCTACCTGCTCTCTTGTACTATCCTCCTGAAAGAACGATTGTGGTGGTGGTGGAGGAAGATGAGCATCACCGGGGCATGTGTTATGTAATGGAGTTCCACATAAGCCAAGGTTTCCACGAAATGAGTCGCTTGTAAATGTGCTAAGATGCTTGTATTGAGGTATGGGGCCTGTGAGTTGGTTCTCTGAGAGGTCCAAACACCCAAGGAAGGACAAATCTCCCAGTTCTATAGGAATCCTCCCACTAAGCTTGTTTGAAGATAAATCTAGCCATTCAAGGTTAGTCAAATTTCCAAGGGTTGAAGGAATGGAACCCATGAGGTGGTTGTGGGAAAGGTTGAGCCCAATGAGAGAATGGAGATGTCCAATAACATTTGGGATGTTCCCTTGAAAAGAGTTGAGCGATAGGTCGATAAATGTAAGGATGGTCAAGATCCTCACTAACCGAATCTTATTTCCTTTCATGACCACTTCCACGGAATCTTCATAGAGTAACGGATTTGAGTCCTCCATGTACAAAGATTTGTCTTGCGGCTCTTTATCATTTTGTCTGTTCATAATAACTTGAAGTTTCGCTATCAAATTGGCTGGTAAAGGACCAACGAAGTTATTGTTCGAGAGGTCCAAAATGTGCAACTTGGTAAAGAGATGAGCTACCCTTGGAAAATCCAAATGACCCTTCAAATTGTTGGACCTCAAAGAAAGAACTTTAAGCTCTGGCAGTGTTCCCATCCATGCCGGGAACTTATCCTCTATCTTATTATTGCTGAAATCTAGAACTTCCGAGTCTTTACAATTGACAAGCGATTGTGGCAATGTGCCTTCAAATTGATTTTCACTCAAGTCTAGAGTTCTCAAGCTACTCTGTGGCAAAAATGTTCCAGGGATTGTGCCTGAAAGATTATTCATTTGCAAGTTCAAAACCGATAAATTAGAGTTTAATAAGCACTCGGGTAGGCTACCGGCTAAGCTATTATTAGACAAGACAAGGACTGAGAGGGAGGTGGCATTGCATATTGATGAAGGGATCTTCCCAGCTATTTTATTATTTGCGGTCAAATAGAACTCTGTGAAGGGTGATGGAAGTGGAAGTGGACCATCAAATTTGTTGTTGGACAAACTAATTGCTAACAATGAGGTATTTGAGAAACCTTCTACTGGCCACCGTCCCGAAAGTTGATTGTCGTTGAGGAGTAATACTTGTAGGTGAGTCAAATCAGCCAAAGAAAAAGTAATTGGACCGGTAAGACTATTGTTGTATAGGCTGAGTCGGTGTAGAAGTTTCAATTTCCCGAGTTCTTTTGGAATCTCGCCAAATAAACCATTGGAAGAAAGATCCAGTTGTTGTAGTTGACTCGCGTTTCCAATCTCAGGAGGCAAGTTACCCGTGATGTTATTTCCAGCAATCCTTAGAGCAACTAAACGCGTGCAACTTCCCCAATTTGTTGAGATTTCTCCATAGAACTTGTTGAAACTCATATCGATATAATACAAGTTGGGGTAGACACCGAAGGTCTCAGATATGTTTCCAGTGAACTGGTTTTTCTCAAGGCGTACTATGACTAAGCTTGTGCAATTTCTCAAACTTATGGGGATAAAACCATTTAAGTTGTTGCCACTCAGCTGTGAGTTTTGGACAGATCCACCGCGGCACAAGTTCTCTGGTACGGAGCCACTCAACTGGTTGGTATCCAACTGCAGCACCTCCAAGTTCATTAGATCCTCCAAGGATCCAAGTATCAATACAGACAGCTAATTCTCGCAGAAGAACAAATATACTAAGTCGGTCAAGTTAACCAAAGAAGAAAGAATTGGGCCGGTGATCTGATGTGTACTCAGCTCTATGCCTGACAAGCATAGAGCGGAGATTTCCTATCTCATCAGGAATGTGACTCAAAAGCTTGTTACCATAGAGATAAAGAAGAGAAAGCTCCATCAAATTGCCTAATGTCGGCGGGATTGAACCGGCAGATTATCATCTAAGAAGTTTATTACATGAAGGCTCAACGAGATAAGAAGTTTTACGTCCCCTAGTTCCAGTGGGATGGAACCTGTAAGCTCATTAGCAAATAGATTCAGCTGTGAAATTTGGTTAAGTTCCCCAAAGTGGAAGGAATTGGTCCTGTCAGGAAGTTGGTGTCCATGTGGAGCCCTTCCAAATTTGTCATATTTTCCCATTTCAGGAGAAATAGAACTAGAAAGGGAATAGTTGTAGACATACTACTGAGTTAGTTTGATCTCCGGCAATATTTTCCCCGAGAACCAATTGAAAAAGAGGCAAGAAAGGTGAGATTGCTCGGGAGACCGATTTGAGGCGGAGAGATTATTTACGCTTAGTCCCATCACAGATGAGAATGGGAATTCGCCAAGCATGTAAATTCGACATCGACGCTGGTGAGATTAATCCCAATCACACTTCCGGCCAGATTGCAGGAGATGCCATACCAAGCGCATGGACTCACGGTCAAATCAGAACCAGTGACATTACGAGGAGAGGTGCGAAGAAACCAAATGGCTCCCAAGACTGGACTTCCACTTGCGGAGGGCCACAATATTCGAGACAACAGTTAACTCAAAATGTTTGATAAATATAGAACATTCAAATTTGTCGCTCCGAGAGCACAACATATGATGCTAAGGCCACTACCATCGCCAGGTTGTGTTCCTCATCCTATTCCAGCCGTACAACAATATGACACGCCGGAACCTAAAGCAGACGTATTCAAGCAGGGCTTCATAGGGCTCTTCTAGGTCCCATCCTATACTCAATATCACCATGAACCTTCAGGAAACCACTATAATGTCGTGCTGCATGCTAGCTTAATCCTTCACCTTCAGAAATGAGAAGACCATCGTAAAGAACTAAGAGAAAAAGGAAATAGGGCAATCACGTCGTCTGAACAATTCATAAGACCAACATCGCCTCATCTCTTTAAAAGACTAGTAATGCCGTGACTTTTCATCACCCAATCATTGCACGTTAGGATCAGCTGAATGTAAAGCCAACAAATGGAACCCATTTTCAAGCAACTTTGTCAAGACTCGAAAAAATTGCCAAAAGAAAGGATGCCAAATCGGAACACCCACCGTTCTGAGAATATAAAAACCATACTAAATTCAGAAGCATGATTTCATGAAGAATAAAAAACCATATGGCACTCTTAGCCGACCACCTTTGGAGATGGCTAGTGGATTATGACCCAAAAATATGGCAAACAAAAGTGCGGGATCACACCAGTACAATTAAGTCCCTCATTGTCCATGCACAGTATGTATGATTAATCCGACACACCCCATTGACAAAAGTGTAAAGTGGAGGCAGAGACCGATGAAAAAGTACATTACAAGAAAGACTTTAAATGGACTTCATGAATGCACATTACAGCACAAGAATAAGATCAGAGTATCACAATAACCACCTAGGTCAGAATTGACGGACTAGCTGCCTTCAAAGAAGGAAGACATTATGCCCGACTAAACCTAGGATTAATATCTAAATCACCACATGCAAGGAAGTCTCTGTCCACCCAATCAAGAGCACCTCAGGAGAAAGTAATATTGTTTGTTGAGCAAAAATGACTCTCACGACCTTGCACACTCATCTTTCCTAAATAGGCAACACAAAAAAGCAGAGACATAAGGTCCATATAGTTGCAATAGAGTGGGACATAAGCAACAAATCCACTCACGTCACTTTACCACTCCATCTACGGACTTCATGGAGATGCGCTAGGGGAATCGGCAGGACGTTCACTGGGCATATCTCTGTGGACCTGAGAAACTCTTTCACCATTTCGTACATCAGGACTTTCAAGTGTAGAAGGTCTCTGATTAGGAGAGGGACTCCTCTCATGTTCAGCTTTCCGCGGGCTACGGGATGAACTGAAAATTGGGGAACTCCAATCATATAAAAACTCTCAACAAAAGATGACCAAAAGAAGCATTAAAGGGAAACAAGGAGGGCCCTCACCTTCTGTATGATCCACTCCGACTTCGGTCCTCGTCATCATACTTGGGTGACCTTCCGTTTTTGCGATGGTCAGTACTTGCGCTATAGCTCCTACTTCGGTGACGATAACTCCTTTCCCTGTCTCTGTTCCTGTCGCGATCATATCATCCTCTGCTTCTACTGCGACTTCTCCTCCTGTAATCGCTGTCTCTAAATTCGTCTCTGTACCTGAAAATCCATTTTACTATCAGTTGCAGTAGAGAATGAGAGGGAATTACTTGCAACTCTGCAAGATGCAACAACTCATTAAGATGGCTAAGGGTTAACCACTACTTGATGTCACATCAGTGGATATTCTATTTTGTTCATTTCACTACGAACAAAAGAACAAGGTGCAACAAGCTTGGATGTCACCTAATATCTGAACTGTTGTTTCAAAGCTTTAAATGACAAAAAAGCAGAAACTAGAAACCAACAACTCAATGACATAATGGGAACTGGATGAAAGAAATTAGCAACACCACATTGACAACATACTGACTTGTTAAAAGGAGGCCACCGGAGTTTACAGTTTCATGCATGAACATTTTAGTTATAGGCGACACAGTCACAATATTGCTAGGATGTATCATCAAGTGCTGATGGAGTAAGTCCAAGTTCATGAGCTCTTCATCCAGCACAAATTAATAAAAATAGTTTTGGGAAAAGTGCAAAACAAGTCATCAACGTTTTACACATTGTCCCACTAATCAATTGAGTTCTAAATCTTTTGGTGAATGTTCGATCAGTCCTAATCTTGCGGCTGACGCCATCTTTTCACTGGAAAATGGAACCCACTTAATTTTACATCAAAATTAACTACATTTTTTTACTATAACACTGGATTTTGCAATTAAAAGACTCAGACAAAAACTAAAGCTCAAATTTTCATTTAAATTGAGGAATCGTTGGAGTTCAACTCAAAGCCCTAAATTTGGCCCTTCAATCATCAAATTGTTTTGCTAGTCAGGTGATTCTCATAATCAATTCTGTCACTCAATGATTGATTAGACTGATGTGTTGTATCCCTTATGGTCCAAATTATCCAGTTACTCTTTTTCCAAAGTAATAAAAATGATGACCAGTTGCTTAGCTGGCTTGAGCAACCATAATGTAACTGCACTCCCAACCTTTTTCTGGAAATTGCGTTTCCAAACTTAGTTGCTTAGATCTCAAGCAAAGGTGGGAAAGTCCAATCCACTATCTGAAGAACTAAAGAGTCAAATTTACTATGCGTGTGAGTAACTCTGGTTTTAGGCATTCAAATTCAGCTCCAGGATTACACCTTTTGGGATGTGACCCCATTTCTTGACATTTGATTACCGTGAAGAAATTTAATATATATATATCGCCCCAATTCTTTAAAAGTGATTGCCTTTAATGTCATTTCAATGTTAATATATATTATGATTTGTATCTTTAAAAATGTATAGATATTTTCCATAAGCCATAAGATGCGTAAACAAGCTTATCATCATTGTTAACAGCATTAACTCCTCCGTAGAATCAGTTCTCTCCATGAACTTGATCGATTGCTTTCATTACTTGCGGACAACTAACAAGGGATGGTAAATATCACTCACAAAGTTTGCAATTTGATTTTAATAAGGCCAGGAGGGAACCTATAAAATAAATTGGCAGTGACATTGTTAACCCAAAGGGACAGGTGTCCTCTCATGTTGAGGTAAACTGAGAAAATTTCCCTCCCGTTCCTCTTTAAACATCTTCACAAGTCATTGAAAAGAAATTAGATAGCTTAAACCTTCGTACATCAAAGGGCTCTAGTCATGGGTCCTCTATCCACTGTAGTAGCATCATGATTTCAATGGTAAATTGACCCTGCCGATTTTCTCATAAATTTCAATCAGGATCCCCATCGAAGTGTTAGCTACCTTTATTAAATCCCAATCAAAGTTATGGCAACATTTATTAGCTATTGAAATGTAGAGATATATGAATTGTGCAGCTAGTAAACAGGCTCGTCTAAGTATAAGACGACCAAATACCTTAACCAATCCATAGAAGTGATTTAGGAATTTTAACCTCAAACACAATCCACAACTAAAGCAATGGGGAGTTACAGACAGTTATTGACACATTCAACCCGCATTTATAATCAAGTGCAGAATTTTTCTCAGTTTAGCATACATACACACAATTTGAATGACTTTACTAACTTAACAAACTTAAGCCATACCTTGGACGAGGACTACGACTCCTTGACCGCCTTCTTATCTTTGAAACCGGTTCGGCAATCTTCCCCTTATCGCTGTTGCGTAATAGAGGCCGAGCTCATCAGAAAAATTGATAATAAGAAAATGAAAGCTAATTTATTCAAGATATTTACTTTCTAATTTTCTTTAGGCCATCTTTTGCAGGTTATTTTGCAAAACGAATCCTCCACTGACAGAACCATACTAACAAGGTGACAGCAACTTGTACCATTTGAAGGTTTATTCCAAAAACACCAAATTCCCTCCAGTGAGCTCGTACCAGATTAGCACTGCACTGATTCTTGACCAGAAAAAGGCACAATCTATTTCACCAATTCGAAAACTAAGAGATAGAGAAAATTAAACAGCTTACATTCTCTCAGCATTGGGACCGTACTTCGCGAACTGAACCCCAATCTCTCTCCCATCCACGACTCTCCCTTCCAACAAGAAAACCAAACAAGAAATCAAACGCCAATCCAAGCATTCCCCCACAACGCAAAACAGAAACCCTC